CCGATCAAGTTACACTCATATACTTTCTAAGCCTAAAATTTGTGCTGTATGTGTGCATCGATGTGCATTTTGTGCCTGTGTGTGCATGTCTTTGAGTTTCTGTCTGTGTGTGCATCTACTATGTGTGTTTGTAAATGTGTGTCTCTGTGTGTCTGTGCATTTCTGTTTCCGTGCATATGTCTGTGAATAGTTGTCTTTTCTAGATGTGTCTGTCGTTGTGCATTCCTGGCTGCATATTCATTTCTGCGCGCAATGGGAGAAACGTAGGTGAAGGTTGAGTGACTCAATGCCAAAGCGTCTCTCCCTGTTGCTGTCTTCTGATTAAAATTATATAATGCCACCACCTGCTGCAGGGTCGACACTGCTGCACAAGTGAAAGATTTTTGAGAAGGCCTTTTTTTTTCGCCCAAGGGCTCGACTTGGGAATCTTCTATTGGGCTACTTTCTGGTTTACACTGGAGTGAAGCTAAAACTAAGGGCCATAGATTAAAAATAAGGAGCCATCATTTAAGGCAGAGATGAGAGGAAATGATTCTGAGGCAGCCAAATTCATGGCACCATGGTTGGCTCTGCTGCAGAGGGAGGGAGGATTAGACATAGAAATGCTCTAGTTATAAGGGATTCAATTGTAAGGCGAAGAAATAGGTGTTTCTGTGGCCACAAACTACAATCCAGGATGGCGTGTTGTCTCCCAGTGGCTAGGGCACTGGATGTCTTGAAGCAGTTACAGGACATTCTGTAAGGGGAGGGCGAACAGCGAGTTGTCGTGATACAAGTTGATACGAATGACAAAGGTTAAAAATGAAAGGAACTAGGTCCTAATAACAAAATATAGAGAACTAGGAGGTAAGTTGAAATGTAGTGCCTCAAAGGTAGTTCTTCTCAGGATTACGACCAAGAGCTAGTCAGAGTAAAAACAGAGGATATGTCGGATGAACACGTGGTTGAAAAGGTGGCGTGACCGGGGAAGGTTTAAGATTCATGGGGCACCGGGACCCGATCTGGGTGAGGTGGGACCTGTCCAAACTGGATGGATTACACCTGGGCAGGACCAGGACTGATGTCCAGGGGAGGGGGGGGATGGGACATACTTGGTAGCAATGGCAGGGGAATGGGAACCAGAGGAGTAGGGCAGTAGATGCAGAAATTGAGGGAGAGGTAGAAACCAAAGCAAACATGACAGAGAACAAGATCAGACAGGGAAGCGCTGCTGAAAAGAGCAGGGGAAATGCATGTGTTTCAATGCAGGTATAATAGGCAAGGTAGATGAACTCAGAACTTTGGTTAGTACTTGGAACCTTGACATTATTGTGATTACAGAGACTTGGCTGAAAGAGGGGCAGGACTGGCAGCTTAATGTCCCGGGATTTAGATGTTTTAGGTGTGATAGAAAGAGAAGTAAAAGGGGTGATGGAGATGCATTACTGGTAAAGGAGTATCTCACAGTTGTACTGAGGGAGGATATATAAGAGGACTCATGCAATGATGCATTATGGGTAGGACTCAGGAATAGAAAGGGTGAAATCACACTTCTAGGGGTATACTACAGGCCTCCCAACAGCCAGCAGGAGAGAGAGGAGAGAATATTGTAGACAGATTTTGAAAGATGTAAAAACCACAGGGTTGTTGTGGTATGTGATTTTAACTTCCCCTATATTGACTGGGACTCACTCTGTGCTAGGGGGTTGGATGGGGAAGAATTTGTAAGGACCATTCAGCAAGGTTTCTTGACACAGTATATCAACAGTCCAACCAGGGAACCTGGTTTTGGGAAATGAGCCCGGTCAAGTGAGCATTTTGGGAGGATTGACCATCATACTATAAGTTTTAAGACATTCATGGATGTGGGATAACAGCTGTCCTCGGGTGAAGGTGTTAAATTGGGGGAAGATGAACTACAACAACATTAGGCAGGAACTGGAGAATTTTGACTGGAGGTGGCTGTTTGAGGGTAAATGCACATCGGACATTTGGGAGTATTTAAAATGGCAGTTGATAAGAGTTCAGGTGCGGCACATTCCTGCAAGAATGAAGGATAGGTATGGCAAGTTATGTGACCCTTGGATGACCAGGGATGTTATGACCTTGGTCAAAAAGAGAAAGTAAGCGCACGTAAGGTCCAGAAGGATGGCAACTGACAATGCCTTGAAGTATGTAAGAAAAGTAAGAAAGAACACAAATGAGGAAGTAGAAGGGCTAAAAGGTGTCATAAAAAGTTGTTAGTGAACAGGATTAAGGAGAATTCCAAGGCTTTTTATACATATTTAAAAAGCAACAGGGTAGCCATGGAAAAGTTTAGCTCACTCAAGGACCAAGGAGCGAGTCAGAACAGGTGGTGATGTTCTAAACTACTATTTTATGTCAGTATTCACCAAGGAGAAGAAATTGGTGGAGGATAATCTCAGGGAAGGGAGTGTCGAGTTTTTAAGCCAAGTTGCTATTAGAAAGGAAGAGCTGTTGTGTGTCTGAAAAAGTATTATGGTAGGTAAGTTCCCTGGTCCTGAGGGGATCTATCCCAGAATATTGAGGGAGGCAAATGAACAAATTGCTGGAGCATGACAGACAACTTTGCATCCCCTTTGGCCACAGGTGACATCCCAGAGGACTGGAGAATAGTCAATGTTGTCCCATTGCTCAAGAAGAGTAGCAGGGACATTCCAAGAAATTACAGGTCTATGAACCTTAGGTTAGTGGCAGGGAAATTATTGGAAAAGATTCTCAGGGACAAGATCTGTACGCATGTAGAAGGAAATGGACTTATTAGTGATAGATAGCATAGTTATGTGCAGGGTGGTCAGGCCTCAGTAAGTTGACCAACTTTTCTGAGGAGGTGACGAAGATGATTGACGAGGGAAAAGTGGTTGATTTGTCTACATGGACTTCAGTAAAGCCTTTGACAAGGTCCCTCATGGCAGACTGGTACAAAAGGTGAAGTCACATGGTATCAGGATGAGCTGGAAAGATGGATACAGAACTGGCTTAGTCAAATGAGACAGGAGGTAGCGGTGGAAGGATGCTTTTCCGAATGGAGGGCTGTGACTGCAGGTGTTACACATGGAGTTTTGCTGAGACTTCTGCTGTTCATGGTCTACATAGATAATTTGGAAGAAATTAGTAACTTTGTGGACAAAGATTGGTACAGTTGAGGATAGTGAGGAGGATTGTCAGAGAATACAACAGGAAATAAATCAGTTGGAGGCATGGGCAGGAAAAAGACAGATGGAGTTTAATCTGGACAAATGTGAGGTGATGCATTTTGGAAGTTCAAATACAGGTAGCAACATGAGTGGTTAGCATTGCTGCCACACAGCAGCAGGGACCCGGGTTCAATTCCACCCTTGGGCAACTGTCTGTGTGGAGTTTGCACGTTCTCCCCGTGTCTGCGTGGGTTTCCTCCAGGTGCTCCGGTTTCCTCCCACAGTCCAAAGATATGCAGGCTAGGTGGATTGGCCATGCTAAATTACTCGTAGTGTTCAGGGATGCCTAGAATAGGAGGGTGGTTCTGGGTGGGATGCTCTGAGGGTCAGTGTGGACTTGTTGGGCTGAAGGATCTGTTTCCACACTGTAAGGATTCTATGATGTTGAAATTATACAGTGAACGGCAGAACCCCTAGGAGTATTGATATGCAGTGCGATCCGGATGGGCAGGTCCACACATCACTGAAGGTGGCAGCGCAGGTAGGTAAGGTAGTCAAAAAAAAAGCCTATGGCAGCTTTATCGAACTTTAGGCCACACTTGGAATATTGTGTACATTCTGGTCACCACACTACCAGAAAGATGTGGATGCTTTGGAAAGGATACAGAAATGGTTTACCAGGATGTTGCTTGCTGTAGGGGAGTTTACCTATGAAGAAACGTTGGACAGACTGGGTTTGTGTTCACTGGAACACAGGAGGTTGAGGGGCGACCTGATAGAAGTTTATAAGATTGTGAATGGCATGGATAGAGTGGAAAGTATGAGGCTTTCTCTCACAGTGGAGGGGTCAATTACCAGGCGACACAGGGGTTCAAGGTGCGAGGCGGGGGGAGTTTAAAAGAGATCTTTAAGGCACATTTTTCACACAGAGGGTGGTCACTGCCTGGAATACGCTGCCAGAGTAAATGGTGGAAGCAGGCAAAATAGCAGCATTCAAGTAGCACCTGGACGAATACGTGAATAGGAGGGGAATAAAGGGATATGGATCTTGAAAGTGAAGACAGTTTTCGTATGGATGGGCAAATGTGTCGACACAGGCTTAGAGGGCCAACTGGCCTGTTCCCATGCTATATTGTTCATTGCTCTTTGGAAACTGCCTCCAGTGCCAGTATACCTTTCCAAAGATAAGAGGTCAAAACTGTTCACAGTATTCCGGCTATGGTCCAACTAGTAACTTTGACACACACTTTTTTAACAATAGTCTGTGTTAATATAATGAACTTTTCTGGAGAAATGTTCAAAGCTTTTCCAAAAAGGTTGAAGCTGAACCTAAATACAAATCTTTCTCGACTTTCTTGCATAAACTGGAGTGACTTCCCTGAAAATATAAATTCCTCAGAATCCCTCACATCTATTTTCACTCATGGTAAATGCATTAGAATGTACTGGTTTCTCACAAGTTTCCCTGTTTGGTAGAACATTCTCTGGAGAAACACTAGACATTTTTACCAACACCGATTTACTTATACAATAAAAATCGAAAGAACTGTGGATGCTGTAATCAGAAAACAAAATCAGAAATGCTGGAAAAGCTCAGCAAGTTCTAAGGAACAGTCATTCGACCTGAAACATTAACTGATTTCTCTCCACAAATGCTGCCAGACTTGCTGAGCTTTTCCAGCAATTTCTGCTTTTGTTTCTGATTGACTTGTAGTCATGCAGCCCAGAAACAGACTCTTCGGTCCAACCAGTCCATGCTGAACATAAACCCAAACTAAACTAGTCATCCCTGCCTGCTCCTGGCCCATATCGCTCCAAACCTTTCCTATTCATGTACTTATCTAAGTGTCTTTTCAACGTAATAGTTCCAACATCCACCACTTCCTCTGGAGCTCCATTCCACACACAAACCACTCTGTGTAAAAATTTTGCCCCTCATTTTTTTTCAAATCCTTCTCTTTCTTGATCTCCAAAGTTTGCCTTTAAATATCCCACTCTATGGCAGTGAAAACATAACAATTCTATTGAGTCAGTTCTATCTTCTGCACAGCTTTTTGTAATCTCCATTCCACGTTTCTTCAATCAGATCAATCACAACCTTCTCACATGGTGAAGCAGTCTCGAAGTGTTGGATTGGCCCTCCTATACCTCATTCATTTGTCCCATATATGACAGATTTCTGCCACAAGACTCTCTGCCTTTCATTGAGAGGGTCACTGGAGAGTTCCTCCTCCAGTTCCAAGCTCAGCAAGCCTTCCAGCTTCCTTTCCCCTTGGCGACGACAAACAAGGTGCAAACTTTACAAATCTATAAGTACTTTCTGTGAGAAGTATCCACATGATTTAAACAAAACAATGTGACCGGCTCCATGCCAACTATTGGAGAAAGTGAAATGCAAACTAAATACCTTTTATCTTCCAACCTTTCCTTCCATTCAGTGATTCAGATGAAATTTGACACATCAGGCCACTAGAAGTAAAGTGGAGAGAGCGGCCAGTCCAGCAGAACGAAACCCTCTAACCCTCCCATGTCACCCACTATCAGAATGAATGTGGTTCAGTCCTGGATGTGATTAGCAGCGGCAATAACACCATAATGCACTCCTGTTATCATTTGTGAACTCCCTGGTGTCTCTGCAGGCTGGACAATCGAGTGAATTCCTTCCCACACTGAGAGCAGCTGAACGGTCTCGCCCCAGTGTGAATCCGTTGGTGTAGCAGCAGGTTGGATGATTGAGTGAACTCCTTCCCACACTCAGAGCAGGTGAATGGCCTCTCCCCGGTGTGAACTCGCTGGTGTGTTTGCAGGTTGAATAACCGAGTGAATCTCTTCCCACACTTAGAACAAATGAACGGCCTCTCCCCGGTGTGAATCCGCTGATGAGTGAGCAGAGTGGACGACTGAGTAAATCCTTTCCCACACTCACAACAAGTGAACGGCCGCTCCCCGGTGTGAACCCGCTTGTGTCTCAGCAGGCTGGTCGAATCGGTGAATCCCTTCCCACAGTCAGAGCAGGGGAATGGCCTCTCCTGGGTGTGAACTCGCTGGTGCGTCAGCAGGGTGGATATATCAGTGAATCCCTTCCCACACTCAGAGCAGGTGAATGGCCTCTCCACAGCATGGACTTGCCGGTGTCTCAGCAGATTGGAGAGAGCACTGAATCCTTTCTCACACACCGAGCAGGTGAATGGCCTCTCCCCTGTGTGACTGCGCTGATGAATCTCAACTGCAGATGGAGAACAGAAACCCTTCCCACAGTCCCCACATTTCCAGGATTTGTTCATGCTGACAGTGTTCTCATTGTCTCTCCGGGTTTACCAGTCAGTTGAAAACTTGCCCACACACAGAACGTGTGTCTGGTTTCCCTCTGCTGTGAATTGCGCAATATTTTTTCAGGCTGTTTAACTAGTTAAAGTTTTTTCACTGTCAATGCACTGAAACATTCTCACTCAGGTGTGTGTGTCGCAAATCCTTTTCCATTCACATTGACTTTTAAAACTTTGATGCAGACTGAACAGTGGATCATTTCTTCTTTCACAGCTTAAGGCCTACATCATTCAGATCCCGATGAATCGTGTGATTCTGTCAGATCTAGTCGTGATGTTAGTTTCAGATTTCTTCCGACAAATCGTCCCCTTCGAATATCCTGTAAAAGCAGGTTTAAAACGTCATCACTATCAGTGCAAGATTAAAAAAAAAACAAAATCTTCTAAAGTTGGTATTTCACGCTTACTGACAAGATTTCTGCTCATTGTCGGTGCAGACTCGATGGGCTGAGGTGCCTCTTCTGTACTGTCTGGCCGAAAGTACCAAACAGGTTCTTTAGGGCCTGATCAAAATGATTATAAGAAGCCACATACACTTCACTATGTAACTAATTTATTGAGTTAAAATATTTAATCCATGTAAGAATTAGTATTGCTAGTTTATATTACGGATACACCCCAATGAGGTGAAGTCCGATAATGCTTAAGCCCAACACTATAGCTTGTTCTCTGAGAAATACAAGTAGATTACTGGACTAAAAATGTACAATTTACTGGACTGTACCACTTGATTAAACTCCTGGGGGTTGGGGGTGTAGGCATGTCAGGAAGATGATTAGGCTTGCATTGGAACTCACTACACAGTGAAGAAGGTTTTCTAAGATCACAAAGGGATCTTGATCAAATGGATCAATAGGTTGAAAAATGGCAGACAAAGTTCAAGCTGGATAAATGTGAGGTATTTCATTTTGGTACGATAAAAAGGTCATACAATTAATGGTAGGGCATTGGGTAGTGTTGTAGAACAGATGGGCCTAGGGTTTCAGGTCCATAATTCTTTCAAGTTTGCCTCACTTACAAACAGGGTGGTTACAGGCATTTAGCACGCTTGCCTTCATTTCTCAGACATTTGTGTATAAGAGTTGAGATGCCATGTTGAGCTTGTATAGGACATTGGTGAGGCTTCTTCTGGAGTACTGAGTCCAGTTCTGGTCACCCAGTTATGGGAAGGATATTTTCAAGCTAGAGAGGGTTCAGAAGAGATTTACCAGTTTGTTGCCTGTTATGAAAGGTTTGAGTTGTAAAGAAAGGCTGGGATATTTTTCACTGGAGTTTAGGAGGTTGACAGGTGACCTGAAAGAGGTATTTAAAATCATGAGAGGTAGAGATAGGGTTAAATTGTAGCTGCCTTTTCCCTAACATGGAGGATTTCAAGACTAGAGTGCACATTTTTAAGGTGAGAGGAGGGAGATTTTAAAAAGACTTGAGGGGAAAATTTTTTAACACTGAGGGCGGTTCGCATGTAGAATGAAATTCCTGAGGAACTGGTGAATGTGGGCACAGTGACAATGTTTAAAAGACACAAAGGTAAGGGATATGGGCCAGGAGCTGGCAGGTGGGACTACATTATTCGGGGATTATGTTCAGCATTGACTGTTGGACCAAAGGGTCTGTTTCCATGCTGTATGACTCTATGGCTATGAATCTATATGAGGTTGGTAAAAGTGGCAACAATTATTTGCAACAATTGATTTAAAATTAAAAAGATTCAACAATAATTTCAAAATAAAATTTGATGAGCAGTTGAGGGAAATGAACTCGCTGGTGACAGGGATGTAGAGAGGGAACGAGAGTGACTGGATTGCTTACGAGTCAGCACAGATTCAAGTTACTGAATGGATTCCAGTACCGTAACGAGTCCATCTTTGAAATATAGAATTTCAAAACAAATCTCATTCAAGAATAGAAACAATAACACGAATGTTATAATTGAATGATATCAAATATGTATAATATAGTACAATGAGGCATATCTTAACGTGATATTGATTTAAAGCCTCATTACATGTCAGCTCGTTCCTGGGAACTACCCCTTTTAATTTTGAACATTAGAAAAAGACGCCATTCTTTTAGCCAAGTAAAAGTGTCAAGCTGAAGGAGTAAAGGATGTCAACGTCTTTTCCAGAACAGGAGACCTGGGCCAATCTTTCCAGAGTGCGCATCCTCCCTGAATTCACTTCCCTACCCTTCCCTTCTAGCAACTCAACAGTTTAAACCTGGAATGAGGAAAGAAATGGAAAGTGGAAAAATAAAACTGTGCTATGCTCACAGAGGAAGAACGTTCAATCTGGGTGACGCTCCACCTTCATTCAGAGAGGAGAGGCAACAGAAGCATCCAACGTCCGCATTCAGACAATAAGGGAGTTCTGATTGGCTGGAGGACCGACTTGCTTCCGGTCCTCCAACGTTTTCCATTGGACAATAGTGTAGCGCATCAACTAAAGATGCGGAGTGCTACTCCCCACTTCCACATGTGCGGTTCCGGGCCACTGTCTGTGTGGCGGATAGAGCGGTTTCACTGGCGCAGTGTCTTGTGGGTGCTACAGCCATATTGTGCAATGGATACCTAAAACCACCACTGTACGAAACAAGGATGAAAATTGGAAATGCGGTGCGCAGTCACCTGATGTGATTAAAGGATGTGAGTAGTCACTGGATTTGAATGTGAGGGACCCCGCTCTTGAGAAAAGAATTTGTTAAGTCCAGTCGTAAAGAATCCTTTTATTCATTCACAGGATGAGGGCATCCCTGGCTAGGCAGCATTTATTGCTCATCCCTAATTGCCCACAGGGCAGTTGAATCAACGACATTGCTGTGAGTCAGGAGTCACATGTAGGTCAGACCAGGTGAGGATGGCAGCTTCCTTCCATAAAGGACATTTGTGAACTAGAGATAGTAGGAACTGCAGATGCTGGAGACTCTGAGATAACAAGGTGTAAAATGATTTCTGAAGAAGGGTCTAGGCCTGAAATGTCAGCTTTCCTGCTCCTCTGATGCTGCTTGGCCTGCTGTGTTCATCCAGCTCTAAACCTTGTTATCTCACATTTGTGAACTAGATGGGTTTTTCTGACAATCAACAATGTATTCGCAATCATCATTAGACTCTTAATTCCTAGATATTTCTTGAATTCAAATTCCATCATCTGCTGTGGCAGGATTCGAACCCAGGTCCTGAGAATATTATTTGGATCTCTAGATTAACAATCCAGCAATAATACGACTAGGTCATCACCTCCCCAGGCATAACGAATGAGCTGGCTGACATACTGGGGACGGCAATGTGAGACTGTGAAACTGGACAGTCAGTGCCTTCCAAGGAGGAGAACTGAAGGGAAAAGCAGATCATGAGAATGCTACTTGTTAGTTGAAAATGTTAGCAAAGGTACACAGATCATGATGGAGATGGTGGCAGCTGTGCCTGTCTATCTGACCTCTGTTGTTATGGACTTGGCTCCAACCACCACAGTGGCTAATGCTGCCTTGGAGGTCACAACCACACTTGAGGTCCCAAACTCCATTTTATGAATGGCCATTCTAAACTAAAGTAGTAACCTTTGCATTTAGTTTCACAGCAGATATAAACCATTCAGCCCTTCAAGCTGGTTCCACCATCCAATATGATTACAGCTGATCATCCAACTCAGTACCCTGTTCCTACTTTCTCCCTATAACTTAGCCCTAAGTTCTATAACTAACTCCTCTTTGAAAACATTCAGTGCTTTGGCCTCAACCACTTTCTGTGACAGAAACTCTGCAGGCTTACTAATCTCTGCATTAAGAAATATAGGAGGTACGGTTAGTACGTTTGTAGATGACACCAAAATTACTGGTGGACAGCGAAGAAGGTTACTTTGGCGTAAAAGGGGACCTTGATCAGATGGACAAATGGGCCGAGGAGTGACAGATGGAATTTCATTTAGATAAATGTGAAGTGCTGCATTTTGGAAAGGCAAATCAGGGCAGGACTTAGACACATGATAAGGTCCTGGGGAGTGTTGCCAAACGAAGAGGCCTTGAGGTGCAGGTTCACAGTTCCTTGAAAGTGGAGTTGCAGGTAGACAGGGTAGTGGAGAAGGCGTTTTGGATACTTGCCTTTATTGATCAGTGCATTGAGTATAAGAGTTGGAAGGTTGTGTCACAGCTGTATAGGACATTGGTTAGGCTACTTTTGGAATACTGTGTGCAATTCTAGTTCCCCTGATACAGGAAAGATATTGTGAAACCTGAAGGGGTTCAGAAAACGTTTACAAGGATGTTGCCAGGGTTGGTGGGTTTGAGCTTTAGGGAGAGGCAGAATAGGCTGGGGCTATTTTTCCTGGAGCATCAGAGGCTGAGGGGTGACTTTATAGAGGTTTATAAAATCATGACAGGCATGGATAGGGTGAATAGCCAAGGTCTTTTCCCCAGAATAGGGGAGTCTAAAACTAAAGGACATGAGCTTAAGGTCAGAGGGGCAAGATTTAAAAGGGACTAAAGCGGCACCAGTTTTATGCAGAGGGTGGTGCGTGTTTGTAATGAACTACCATAGGTGGTGGTGGAGACTGGTACAATTAAAACATTTAGAAAGCATCTGTATGGGTACATGTATAGGATGGGTTTAGAGGGATATGGGTCAAATGCTAGCAAATGGGACTAAATTAACTTAGGATATCTGCTTGGCATGGAAGACTTGGACCGAAGGGACTATTTCCTCGCTGCAAATCTCTATGACTCTAAATTTTCCCTCACTGCTATCATAAATGGCCGACACCCTCTATTCTTGTACATTTACCCTGGCCTGGATTCCCGGTTATTGGGAACATTCATCCTACTTTTACTGCTCAAAAACCACATCAAACATCATGTCACCATCTGACAGAGGTCACTTGATTCACCTGGATCTGACTATCATTGGTTTTTTACCTGGAAGGAGAAATGACTGTCTGTTCCCTCTGAAAGGAAAGATTTTACATCGTAGCGTGGACGGAATAGCTGAAAGGTACACACACCTACACACACAACTGAGAAAACATATTCCAGTGCACTTACTGCGCAAAGGAATGTAACGAATTACACATTATTATCCACAAACACAGGAATTGCTGGAAAAGCTCAGCAGATCTGGCAGCATCTCTGGAGAGAAATCAGAGTTAATGTTGAGTCCAGTGACCCTTCCTCAGGAGTGGGTTAATGTTAACTCTGATTTCACAGATGCTGGTAGACCTACTGAGCTTTTCCAGCAATTTCTGCATTTGTTTCTGATTTCCAGCACCTGCAGTCCTTTTGACTTTTACACTGCATTATGAACCTGGTAAATATCAATAACATCTTTTAATATAGACAAACTTGAAATCCAGGCTATTTGCTATTAAATATGATAAAGCAATTATAAGATTCCATGGGTTTAAACAGATGTATTTTTTACTATACAAAAACCAATAAGGCAAACACTAAATATCCTTAAAATATAACAAGAATTAACATCTGGTAAACACATATTAACAGGCAAATTGTCGTGAGTTACAATCTAAATTACACGTCAAATGGCAGATACAATGCAGTCAATCTTATGAATTGGCCCAACAGTCTATTCAGATTTTAGTGATCATTCTCAGGCACAAAGTCATTTAAACACTCTCCTCTTCAGCATTTAGAGGGATCTGGGCCGAATGCTAGAAATGGAACTAGATTAATTTAGGATACCTGGTCAGCTTGGACAAGTTGGACTGAAGGGTCTGTTTTCATGTCGTACATCTCTATGGCTCAGGAGATATTTAAGCCCTTCTCTTTCTCTGAGCTGGTTTCATCTCCAGCCAGAGTTCCATGGGTGACAGCACAGTGGTATACCTCTGCAGAATCTGCTCATCCCAGGCTGGATGGCATAGGGTCAATCAATGTTATTTTTGAATAACAGCAACAGCTTAAATTCCAGATTCTGGGCCTGGCCTTTTCTTCTTAAGTCTTCCTCAGCTTGCCTGTTCTATTTCAGTGTATTCAACAACTACTTTTCTTTTCTTACTGATAAGATGTGGGCTTCGCTGGCTAGATCAGCACTTTTTTTCATTTGATTTACTATTGTCACGTACCTAGGTACAATGAAAAGTTTTGTTTCGCATGCAGTACAGGCAGATCACACCATACAAAGTGCAGTAGGGGGACAGAACAGAGTGGGGAGCACAATGTTACGGCTGCAGAGAAGGTGCACAAAGAGCGAGGTCAACATTAAATTGAAAATTTGAGAGGTCCACTTATTGCTCATCATTAAATGATAGTGAGCTACCTTTTTGAAATGTCATAGTCAGTTCAGGGGGAGGTAATTCCAGGATTTTGACCCAGTGAAACTGGAAGCTGGTGTGTGGCTTGGAGAGTAACTTGCAGGCAGTATATCGGGTGACCATATCCTTCTGGATAGTTGTCACTGTGGGTTTGGAGGGTGCTGTCTAAGGAGTCTTGGGGAATTTCTCCAGTGCATCTTGCACACACTGTTGCTGCTGCGTGCCAACGGAGTGTATGAATGTGGATGTGGTGCCAATCAAGCAAGATGCTTCACCCTGGATGGTACAAGCTTCTTCAGCATTGATGGAACTGCATTCATGCAGGAAAGAAGAGTATTCCATTACACTCCTGAATTATGCCTTGTAGATAGCGGACAAGCTCTGGGGAGTCAGGAGGCAAGTTACTCACTGCAGGATTCCCAGCCTCTGACCTGCTCTTGCAACACCACATTTCTATGGCAAGTCCAGTTTTAACGTCTGGTCAGTGGTAATCCTGAAGGTTTCAACAGTGGGGGAATTCATCAATGGTATGACCATTGAATGCCAAGATATGATGGTTAGACTGTCTCTTGTTGGAGATGATCATTGCCTGGCATTTGTGTGGCACAAATATTACTTGTCACTTATCAGCCCAAGCAGAGATACTGTTTGCATTTGGACTTGGATTGCTTTTAGAGCCCTTAAAGGAAAAAAATGGGCATACTGTATGTAACACATAACTGATCAATTTAAATTTTATCCAGAAAACTGACACCTGTGCTGGCTGGAGTTCCTTTCAAACAGCTGAAATAAACCCCAATGAAAATAATTCGCAGCACAGTGGCTCAGTGGTTAACACTGCTGCCTCGCAGCACCAGTGACCCAGGTTCAATTCCATCCTGAGGCAACTGTCTGTGTGGAATTTGCACATTCTCCCCGTGTCTGCGTGGGTTTCCTCTGGGTGCTCCAGTTTCCTCCCACACTCCACAGATGTGCAGGTTAGGTGGACTGGCCACACTAAATTGCCCATAGCATCCAGGGATGTGCAAGCTAGGTGGATTATCCATGGGAAATGCAGGGATAAGGTAGGGGGATGGGTCGGTGTGGACTCAACCGGCCAAATAGCCTGCTTCCACATTGTAGGGATTCTAAGATGATTCAGTCCTGGATGTGACTCAGAGCAAAATGCAATCACTGTTTTTTTCTTATTGTGAACTTGCTACGGTCTCAGAAGGTACAATGACTGAGCATCTAACACACTGAGCAAGCGAATGGTCTCCCGTCAGTGTGAACTCACTGGTTCATCAGCATGTTGCCCTATTAAGTAAATTCCTTCCCACATTCAGAGCAGGAGCATGGTCTCTTCCCAAGTCTGAGCTCACTGTTGTGTCAGGAGGTGGGGTGACTGAGCGACTCCCCACCCACAAACAGAGCAGCCGAACGCATCCTGCCCATGTGAGCTCGCTGGTGACTCAGAACGTCAGATGAGCGGCGAAACCGCTTCCCGCACTTGGAGCAGCTGAACGGCCTCTCTCCGGTGTGGCGTCGCTGGTGTGCCAGCAGGTTGGACGTGTGAGTGAATCCCTTCCCACACTCTGAGCAGATGAAGGGCTTCTCCCCAGTGTGACTACGTTGGTGTGTCAGCAGGTCCCTCGTGCTTTTAAAGCTGGAGTCACAGTCAGAACATTGAAAGGGTCTCTTATCGGTGTGAATAAGCTGATGTGATGTCAGATTAGTTAAACAAGTGAATCCCTTCCCACACACAGGACAGGTGAACGGCCTGTCCCCTGTGTGAATACGGAGATGCTCAGTGAGGTTGGATGATCGTCCGAATCTCTTCCCACAGTGAGAGCAACTGAACGGCCTCTCCCCAGTGTGCACCCGCTGGTGCTCAGTGAGGGTGGATGACTTGGCGAATCCCTTGCCACACACAGAGCAGGTGAACGGTCTATCCCCAGTGTGAACTCGCTGATGTGACAGTAGAGTGGATAGCTGAGTGAACCCCTTCCCACAGTCAGAGCAGGTGAATGGTCTCTCTCCAGTGTGACTACGTCGGTGGGCTTCCAGCTTGGATGGGTAACTGAATCCCTTCCCGCAGTCCCCACATTTCCATGGTTTGTCTGTAGTGCTTACGTCCTTTTGTCGGTCCATGTTAGATAATCGAACTGAAGACTTGTCTACAACGCAGCGGTTTTACCACAGTGTAAATGCTGTGATGATTTTCTTAGGCCATGCAACTGGTTAAAGTTCTGTTCACAGTCAGTGCACTAGAACACCCTCCTTTGGGTGTGGATGTCTTGGTGATTTCCCAGCCATGCTGTTGTCTAAGATCTTTTCTCTAAGAAGGACCAGGTAATTATTTCTACTTCCACAAAGTTCAAGATTATTCAGATGAATCAAGAGACCCTGTCAGATCTGGATGAGAAATTCGATTGGAATTTTCCGTGTATAAATTCTTTCTTTTCAATACCCAGTAGAAAGGATTTCCAAAAATCGTCTGTCCAGGATAATAATGCTTAAATATTTTAGTTTAGAGGCAGCATTTTTCCTCACTTGTTCGCAAACATCTGCAAATTGGTCCCAAAAACACTCCTCCTTCAACATTTGCTCTCGTTTGTCTTTGCTGCATGTAAATCCACCCAAGTGAACCAGCACACCGGCCCTTTGCCCCCTATAAAGATGGCTACCTCACAGACGTCTGGTTGAACGGTGCCCCGAATAAAGATGACGGCGCTCAATCCAGGCCTAGCCCCGCTCAAGACCCGCAGCCGATCCACCGCACAGGGTCCGACAATGGGACAGTGAGCTTCTAATTCGCATCTAGAGACCTGCATCAAACGTTTACGAAACCTGCCAGACCGCGTTCCAAGCTCCACTCTCTCCTGAACTCGCCGTTATCTCGCGTCCCACCGTCTCCTTTCTCCTTCAGCAGCCGCTCTTTTGATCGCTGAGCGGGCACGATAAACCTGCGCATGCGCGTAGGGACCGTTAGGGCCGAACCCTCCGTTCGATTGGTTGGAGGACCAGTGGACCTTGCGGGGACTTCACGCGGCGCTCCCTCTTCCTATTGGTCTGCGTCTGCTGTCAATCACCTGGGCCCCTTTGCGATCTGGAGTATGCGCAGATAGGGCTAGCGTTTGTTCATTTCTGGAGATAGTAAGAATGGCAGATGCTAGAGTCAGAGATGACACTGTGGAGCTGGAGGAACACAGCAGGCCAGGCAGCATCACAGGAGCAGGAAGGATTTTCTGAATCTGAAGAAGGGTCCCGACCTGAAACGTCAACTTTCCTGCTTCTCTGATGCTGCCTGGCCTGCTGTGTTCCTCCAGCTCCACACTGTGTTCCTCCAGCTCCACACTGTGTTTCGTTGTCCGTTTCTAGTTGTCCTTGAGAAGGAGATGATGAGCTGCTGCTTTATGGGAAGGAGGTCCAAGAGTTTGACCTAGCCACACTGAAGGAACTTTTAAACTTATTTCTTCATTTTTCTACTATTTACCTAAGATTTTGTACTTAAAGATGACACAGTGAATGGCGACATTGTAAACTCTTCACTGTACTCCTTGAGAACACGCAACAATAAAACCTAATTCAGATATGTTCCCAAGTCTACAACATGAGCAGCTTGCTGGTTTCTGCTTCCTCATGTTTCTTTCTGCTTTGTCCTGGATGGTGCCAAGTTTCTTGAACGTTGTTGGAGCTGCACTAATCCAAGCAAGTGAAGCATATTCCATGTTACTCCTGACTTACATAGAAAATAGGAACAGGAGCAGGCTGTTTGACGCTTTGAGCCAGTTCTGCCACTGAGCATGAATATGGCTGATTATCCAAGGCTACTCCTGTTCAAACTTCTGCTAACTGGAACTTCCTCCCTAATGGCATTGTGGGTCTATCTACAAAAAATAAATTTCAGTGTTTCAAGAAGACAGCTCACCACCAACTCCTCAAGGGCAACTAGGGAAAGGCAATAAATGCTGGCCCAGCCTGCATGATTTAAAGATGTAAGTCACCAGGATTATGATAATTGGGGAATTCAGCAATGGTAATGCCATTGAATTTCAAGCAGAGTTGGTTAGATATACTCTTGTTGCAGATGTGCATTACCTATCATTTGAGTGGAATAAATAGATTTCCAATCAAATAGAGATGACTTGAAGTCTCAAATGATCTTTAACCCTAAAGAGAAATAGAAAATGACAAAATGTCCCCTTGAAACCAAAATGATCTGTTCTTGATTTCTATGCTGTTCTAACAAGGATGATATTTGCACAGAAACAGACCCTTCAATCTAACCAGTCCACATTGACCATAATCTCAAACTAAACTAGTCCCACCTGCCTGCGCTTGACCCATATCCAAACATTTCCCATTCATGTACTTATCCAAATGTCTTTTCAACATTGCAACTGTACCCACATCCACCACTTCCTCTGGAAGTTCATTCCACTTATGAACCACTCTCTGTGTCAAAGAATTGTCCCTCATGTCTTTTTTAAATCTCTCTCCTCTCACTTTAAAAAGTGCCCCCTAGTCATGAAATCCCCCACCCTAGGGAAAAGACACCTGCCATTCACCTTATCTATACCCGTCATGATTTCATAAAGCTCTGTAAGTTACCACTCAACCTCCTGCACTCCAATAAAAATATTCCCAGCCTACCCAGCATCTCCTTACAACTCAAATTCTCCATTCCCGGCATCACCCTGGTAAACCTTTTCTGAACCCTCTCCAGCTTAATAATATCCGTCCTATAACAGGGCAACTAGAACTGGACACAGTACATCAGAAGAGGCCTCACCAACATTCTGTACAACTTCAACATGATGTCCCAACTATGACACTCAAAGGGCTGAGCAATGAAGGCAAGTATACAAAATGCCTTCTTAACTACCATCTACATGTGACACAAACTTCAAAGCATTATGTACCAGAACCCTCTGCCTCCCTGTTCTACAGCACTACCCAAGGCCCAACTTTTAATTGAATAAGTCCTGCCGTTGTTTGTTTTACCAAAATGCAAACCTCATGTTTATCCAAATTAAACTCCATCTGCCACTCCTCAGCCCATTGACCCAATTGATCAAGACCGCTTTGTAATCTTAGATATACTTCTTCACTGTCAACTACACTACCAATTTTGATGTCATCCAAAAACTTATTAACCATGCCTTTCCTGTTTTTAATGACATGTATCTGGGAAACAGATGTCAATAAAATAGGGAATTCTTAGAAACATGTTTTAGATTCTTCTTTAAATCTGAGGATCTAAATGTTTGTGGTCAACAGGGCCCTTAGCTATGTTTGACTCATCTCCCACACTTCTGCTCTCACCCCATCCTTTCCCTCTCACAACAATGATAGCGTCCTCCTGTTTCTCACTTACCATCCCACCAGCTTCTGTGTCCAATAGATTGTAAGCTGCTATTTCCAACACTCCAACGGGATGCCATGACAATTTCCCTCCCCTCCTTTGTAAGCATTCCTCAGGGACCATTCCCTCTGGGACACTCTGGTCCACTCCTCTTCCATTCCCAACATCTCCTCACACTCCCACGGCACCATCCCATGCAATTGCAGTAGTTTAAACCTTCCCATTTACCTCCTCCCTCTGAAGGCCCAGACATACGTTCCAGGTGATACAGCCATTCACCTGCACTTCATTCAATCTAGTCTACTGCATTTCTTGTTCACAATGTGGTCTCCTCTACATCGGGGAGACAAAGTGCAGACTGGGCGACCGCTTTGCAGAACACATTTTGTCTGCAAAATTGACCAAGCTTCCAGTTGCCTGCCACTTCAACACACCACCGTGTTCCCATGCCAATATCTCTGTCGCAGGACTGCTGCAGCTTCAGCATAGCCTCAAAGAACAACTTCTCAATTTCTGCTTAGGGTCTCGGACTCTATATCGAGTTCAATAGCTTCAGAAACATTCCATAGACAGCTGCTCTCGCCGCATCCTGAGATCAACACTCAGTGCCATGCGGCGTCATATGCTTCTCAACAGCATTGCATCACGCTGACCCAGGGTTGTACCACTCTGCAGTTCCAGCTCATTCGATGTGCTAACAAGAAATCAAGCTAACAAGATGCTCTCAGGCATCAAGTCACACAAGATGCAACAATTCAGAGATACCCATGGCCCTCTGGAACCTTCCTCCCCTCCCCTTCACTCTATTCCCTCCCCCAACCCCACTTCCTCTCAGGTATTCACCATCCCTCCTAACCTTCCACTCTGATGCTGAAAGGTCTGTACTCAGCAAAGGTCTCAGCTTTATCCCTCTGCATCCCCACCTTAATGAATATATGATGTCACACTCTTCTTCTGCCATCTTTGCCTCCATGCACATTTATTTGGACAAGAGTCCTTTCCCCATCCCACAGACCCCTTCGCCCAGCTCCAACACTCTCCCTCCACCTGGACCCCACCCTCTGGTCTTTTTCCTGCACTCGATCTGTTCATTGAAAACCATAGACATGACATTGGTCACCTCGATTTCTTTGCCCCCCTCACCCAATCCAACCTATCTCCTTAAGATCCAACCCTGAATTTGTTATCAAGCCTGCTGATAAGGGTGGTGCTGTTGTAGTCTGGCACACCAACCTCAACATTGCTGAGGCTGAGTGCCAGCTCTCAGATACCCCTTCCGATCTTCGTGTGGACCATAACTCCACCACAGAACATCAGGACATTGTAACAATGACAGTCACTGACCTCATTTCATTTGGTGATCACCCCGCCCCCCTCATCACTGCCTCCAAGCTGATAGTCCCTCAGCCCTGCACAGCTCGCTTCTACCTCCTTCCAAAAATTCAAAAACAGGACTGCCTGGGTAGACTCATTGTTTCAGCCTGCACCACAAAACTCATCTCTTCCTACCTTGTCTTGATCTTTTCTCCCCTAGTCCAGTCCCTGCCCATATACATCTACAATTCCTCTGATGCTTTACCCTAATTTTAGAATTTCCAGTATGCAGGCTCCATCCGTGTCCTCTTTACCATGGCTGTGTAATCCCTTTACACCAGGATGGTCTTAGGGCTCTCCACTTCTTCTTGGAGCAAAGGCCTGAACTGTCCCCACCCACCGTTACCTTCCTCCACTTAGCCAAACTGATCCACACCCTCAATAACTTATATTTTAACTCCTCTCATTTTCTTCAGTCAAGAGGGGTGGCCACAGGTATCTGCATGGGCCCCAGTTGTGCCTGTCTCTTCATGGGGTACATAGAAAATTCCTTTTGTTCCAGTCCTATTCCAGTCGCAACCCACAACTCTTTCTCCAATATATCGATGATATCATCGGTGCTGCTTCCCTCCCTCATCCGGAATTGGAAAAGTTCAGCGATTTTGCTTCCAATTTCCACCTCGCCCTCACTTTCATCTGGTCTATCTCCGACTCCTTCCTTCCCTTCCTCAACATCTCTGTTTCCATTTCTGGGAACAGACTGACCACTAATATCCACTATAAACCCACCGACTCCCACAGCTACCTGGACTATACATCCTTGCAAGACAAAAAGGTGCAGGGCTGGATGAACACAGCAGGCCAAGCAGCATCATAGGAGCAGAGAGGCTGATGTTTCGGGCCTAGACCCTTCATCAGAAAAGGTATACATCCTTGCACTCTGCTTCCTGTAAAGACTCCGTTCCATTCTCTTGTTCCTCTGTCTCTGTTGCACATGTTTCAATGAGACCAACTTCGACAACGGAGTCTCCAAAACGTCCACTTTCTTCCTCAGCCAAGGATTCCCTAGTACTGTTGTCGATACAGCCCTCAACTGGGTCCAACCCATCTCCCACACATCCACCCTCACCCCCTCTCTTCCCTCCTGCAACAGCATTAGCGTTCCCCTTGTCCTTACCTACCATCCTACCAGCATTCACATCCAGAAGATCATCAGCCACCATTTCTGCTACCTCCAGCGAGATGCCACCACCAGACACATATTCCCCTCTCTTCCCTTGTTTGCCTACCACAGGGACCGTTCCCTCCAGGACACCCTGTTCCACTCTTCCTTCACTCCCAACAACTCCCAGCAGCCTCAAGGCATCTTCTCCTGCAACCACCATAGGTGTAACACCTGCACATTTACCTGCTCCCTCCTCAGTATCTATGGACCCAAACGTACCTTCCAGGTGAAGCAGCACCTCACCTGCACTTCCAAGAATCTAGTCCACTGCATTCCCTGCTGACAATGTGGTCTCCTCTATATTGGGGAATCAAATCATAGATGATCACTTTGCAGAACATCTACATTCTGCCCGCAAAAAAGACCCTGAGCTTTCAGTTGCCTGCCACTTTAACAAACCACCCTATTCCCTGGCCAACATCTCTGTCTCAGGCTTGCTGCAGTGTTCCAACGAAGCTCAGCATAAGCTGGAAGATCAACACCTCATTTTCTGCTTAGGGACCCTGCAGCCCTCTGGATTCAATATCGAATTCAATAATTTTAGGGCCTGAACTGTCCCATGTCATAGCGCACTACCCCACAGACAAGGCCTTGTTATCAAATAGTCTGCCATTACACACTGCCTATTGTTAGCCACTAACAGTCTCCATTAACAACTGTTCACCCTTCTAGACAGATCATTATCTACTCCTTTGTCTGTCCAACTGCTATTTTCTCTCTTTGGGCTCAATCCCCACTTATTATTTACTCCTTACCCCTTCCCCCACTATCTTCTGCATATAAACCAATATTTTCCTAGTTAGCATCAGTTCTGAGTAAGGGAATGTTAACTCTAAAATGTTAACTCTAATTTCTCTTCACAGATGCTGCCAGATCTGCTAAACTTTTCCAGCAACTTCTGCTTTTGTGTCAACAACTTCAGAGTCTGAACACCAAAGATCGATTTCCAGTTGGAGTTCTAATGCTGTTGATATTGTGAGATTTCATCCTCCCGTGTTTTTTTACACAGCCCACACCCGGTCCTTTTATGACATCAGTTGCTTTAACACAGTCACCCATTCTCACCCACACCCAGGCTCTTTATCACATTAGTCAATAAATAGAACTAAGAACAAAGAAAATGACAGCACAGGAACAGGCCCTTCAGCCCTCCAAGCCTGCATCGATCCAGATCCTCTATCTAAACCTGTCACCTATTTTCCAAGGATCTGTATCCCTCTGCTCCCTGCCCATTCATGTATCTGTCTAGATATATCTTAAATGACGCTATCATGCCCGCCTCTACCACCTCCGCTGGCGTGTTCCAGGCACCCACCACCCTCTGCGTAAAGAACGTTCCACGCATATCTCCCTTATCTTTCCCCTCTCATCTTGAAATCGTGACCCCTATTAATTGAGTCCCCAACTCTCGGAAAAAGCTTCTTGCTATCCACCCTGCCTCTACCTCTCATGATTTTGTAGACCTCAATCAGGTCCCCCCTCAACCTCCGTCTTTCTAATGTAAATAATCCTAATCTACTCAATCTCTCTTCATAGCTAGCGCCTTCCATACCAGGCAACATCCCAGTGAACCTCCTCTGCACCCTCTCCAAAGCATCCACATCCTTTTGGAAATGTGGCGACCAGAACTGTACGCAGTATTCCAAATATGGTTGAACCAAAGTCCTATACAACTGTAACATGACCTGCTAACTCTTGTACTCAACACCCCGTCCGATGAATGAAAGCATGCCGTATACCTTCTTGACCACTCTATCGACCTGCATTGCCACCTTCAGGGTACAATGGACCTGAAGACCCAGATCTCTCTGTGCATCAATTTTCCCCAGGACTTTTCCATTTACCGTATACCGTAATGTGGAGCAGGAAAAGCACAGCAGGTCAGAAAGCATCCTAGGAGCAGGAAAGTCAATGTTTCGGGCCTAAACCCTCTGTCAGGTCCTTTGGCCCAATACGTCTGCGCCAACCAAGTTTTCCAAACTAAACTTGTCCCATTTTCGTGCGTTTGGCCCATATCCCTCTAAACCCTTCCGATCCATGCACCTGTCCAAATGTCTTTTAGATGTTATAATTGCACCTTGCCTCCACCACTTTCTCTGGCAGCTCGTTCCGTATACCCTCTGTGTGAAAACGTTACCCCTCAGGTGCCTTTAAAATATTCCCCCTCTCACCTTCAACCTATGCCCTCTAGGTTTGGACTCCCCTCCCCTGGAGCAAAGACCCTGTCTGTGCCTCTCGCGCTGGGTTTCAGTTTTTGTTCTACATGTTGCATATTTTCCACAGCAGTTAGAATTGAAGTGCCGAGTGTTTCAGGTTGATTCCCGCTATGGGTGGAAGGCAGACCCCCTTCACTGCCTGCAAATGGGAATGTTGCCCATTCGCACCAGAGGAGGGCAGTGCGCAGGCGCCGTGCGGGTGTGGGGCCGGGGCGAATGGAGCATGCGCAGGATGAGGGCCTGCGATGGAGGACGGTTCCTGATCGGATTTAAAAATCGGTGAGACGGAGACAGTGAGGGGCGGAGCGGGGCTGGGGAAGTCTGCAGAAATAACCTCGCGCGAAGAGCAGACTCTGAGCAGAACTGACGGGGTCCCTCCTCTTGTCCGGGGTGGGTGGGTGGGGGGGGTGCCTAAGCTCCCGGCTTTAGGCTCACTCCACGCCCCGGCTCGCGGCCGCCATCTTGTTGGGTATGAGATGGCGCGGACCGCGCGTGCGCGTCGCCATCTTTATTGGGGCGCAATGGGGCCGTTCAGCCGCCATCTTTGTAGGGGGCGACAGCAACGAGGGGCTGGAATGGAATTCACTCAGATTGGCAACTGCATCGAAAGTAGAAGCAGGAGCCTGCCCGGCCATTCAGCCTGATCATCCAACTCAGCATCCTGTCCCTCTGCTTCCCCCCTCCCCGCTTTGATCCCAGTAGCCCGAAGAACTGTATCTAATTCATCTTTGAAATCATTCAATGTTTTGGTCCCTGCCACTTTCTGTGAGCGACAGTGCCACAGGCTCACCCACTCTCTGGCTGAAGAAATCTCTCCTCTTCTCAGTCCTACCCCATGTCGTTAGATTGTGACCCCTGGCTCTGGACTCCCCGAGTCATCGGGAACACCCTTCCTGTGTTTACTCTGTGTAGTCCTGTCAGAATTTTACAGGTTGTCGTGAGTTGCCCCCTCATTCTTCTAAACTCCAGTGAATTTGCTCCTAACTGATTCAGTCTCTCTTCACGTGTCAGTCCTGTCTTCCCATGAATCTGGTAAAGTCTGGTAGACCTTTGCTGCACACTCTCCACTGTCATAGAGCACAGAAACAAACCCTCGGTCCAACTAGTCCATGCTGACGATAATCCCAAACTAAACTAGTCCCACCTGCCTATGCTTGGCCCATATCCCTCCAAACATTTCTTATTCATGTAGTTATTTAAATGTTGTAACTTTACCCACATCCACCACTTCCTCTGGAAGTTCATTCCACACACGAGCAATCCCCCATGTAAAAAAACTTGCCCCTTGTGTCTTTTCTAAATCGTTCTCCTCTCACCTTAAAAATATGCCCCTAGTCTTGAAATCTTGAAGACACATGCAATTCACCTGATCTATACTCAAGACATCCTTTCTCAGTTAAGGAGACTAAAACTGCACACAATACTCCAGATGTGGTCTCACAAGGTCCTGTACAATTGCAGCAAGACATCCCTGCACCTGTACTCGAATCCTCTCACTTTGAAGGCCAATAACCTATTTGGTTTCTTCACCCACATGCATACTTTCAGTGACCGGTGTACAAGGACACCCAGGTCTTATTGTACCACCCGCTTTCCCAGTCTATCACCATTCAGCTAATCTCCTTTCCTGTTTTTGCTACCAAAAACCCTCATATTTAACTGCATTATGCTTCATCTGCCATACATTTGCCCACTCACTCAGCCAGTTCAAATCATACGAAAGCATCTCAACATCCTCCTCAAAGTTCACCTTCCCACCCAGCTTTGTGTCATCTGCAAATCGGGAGATATACACACAGTTTTGTCACCTTAATTATTATTATATGTATTGTGAATAGCTGTGATCCAAGTACTGATATCCGTAGTACTCCCGCAGTCCCTGGCTACCGTTCAGAAAATGAGTTGTTTATTCCTACTGTTTGCTTTGAGTCTGCCAGCTAGTTCTCTGTCCATATTAGCACACTCCCCCTAGTCCCATGTGCTATAATTTTACATGTTAATATTTTACATGGGACCTTATTCTGAAAGTCCAAGTAAACCACATCTACTGGCTTCCCTTTATCAACTACAAGTTACATAATCAAAACATTCCAGTAGATTTGTCAATTGTCCTTTCATAAATCCATACTGTCTCTGTCCAATCCTGCTATTGTTTTCCAAGTGCCCGGCTATTAAATCTTTCATAATGGACTCCAGCATTTTCACCACGAGCGATGTCAGGCTGATTGTAACTCCCGGTTTTCTCTCTACCCCATCTTTTAAATTGCAGGATTAGATTAGCTACCCTTCAATGGATAGGACCTGTTCCAAAGTGTATATAATCTTGAAAGTTGACTGTCGATTCATCTACCATTTCTAGGGCCACTTTCTTATCCTGTGATGTCCCTTTACCTGTCCCTCAAGCTGAGTTAGCTCTTGAAGTGAGGGATTATACATACTCTACAGTGCAGAAACAGGCCATTCAGCCCATCAGGTCCACACCAACCATCCGAAGAGCATCCCACCCAGGCGCAACTCCCTACCCTATCCCTGTAACCCTGCATTTTCATATCCACCTGACCTGCACATCGTTGTGGGAGGAATCTGGAGCACTCGGAGGAAGCCCATGCGGACACAGGGGAAGAAGGTGCAAACTCCACACAGACAGTCGCCCAAGGGTGGAATTGAAACCAGGGTCCCTCGTACTGTGAGGCTAATCGCAGTGCTAACCACTGAGCCACTGTGCTGCCCATAAACTGTCACTCCCTGCCAGTGTAGTGAACTTGGATTGTGGTGGTGTTAGTGCCGAATTGTTATCACTAGATCACCATGGACATATGCAAGGCTATGGCCTGAATGGGAGAAGAGAAAGAGAAAGGAGCAGGAGAGATGGTTCTGTGGTTAGCACTGCTGACTCACAGCGCCAGGTTCAATTCCACCCTTGGGCGACTGTCTCTGTGGAGTTTGCACATTTTCTCCATGTCTGCGTGGGTTTTGCCTGGGTGCTCCGGTTTCCTCCCACGGTCCGAAGATGTGCAGGCTGGGTGGAATAGCCGTGGTAAATGTAGGGTTACAGGGGCAAGGTGTTGGGGGTTCGTCCTGGGTAGGATGCTGTTCGGAGAGTCGTGTGGACTCGATGGGCCAAACTGTAGGGATTCTAAGTCCAGACCAGAGATGGTAGGAACTGCCGATGCTGGAGAATCTGAGATAACAAGTTGTAGAGCTGGATGAACACAGCAGGCCAAGCTGCATCAGAGCAGCAGGAAAGCTGACGTTTCGGGTTGGACCCTTCCTTCTCTGATCAACATCCGTGAACCTGTTAGGTCTGTTTACGACGATTCGGCAGCTTTCATGTTCCCTTTCTGCTGACGCCCAACACCAGTGATGACCAGATTCATTCAGCTCAATTGGTGGGTTCGCTCTCGCTCCCTTTTTTTTTCATTCTTTCCCCCTGTTTTGATGAACTTTACAGGTGATTAGAAAAGGAGGACTTCCAGGCGGGAAACCGGAAACTAAACTTCACGGACAGTTCGCCCAAAGTTGTCCTAAGTGGAATATTGAACATGGAAGGAGAAAGCTCCGTGTGCGGCGTAGAGAAATCGCACGTGTGTTCCAGGTGCGGGCAAGGCTTCGCACAGTCTGACCTGTCCCAACATAAGTGCGGTCGCACCGGGGAGAAGCCGTGGAAATGCGCGGACTGCGGCAAGGGCTTCAGTTACCCATGCTACCTGGAATCCCACCAGCGCAGCCACACGGGGGAGAGGCAGTTCGCCTGCCCCGAGTGTGGGAAGCGATTCGCTCAGTCGTCCAGCCTGCAGAAGCACCGGCGGGTCCACACCGGCGAGAGGCTGTTCCGCTGCTCGGCGTGCGGGAAGGGGTTCGCGGAATCGTCCCACCTGCTGAGGCACCGGAGAGTTCACACCGGGGAGAGGCCGTTCGCCTGCGCCGAGTGCGGCAAGGGCTTCACCGAGCTGTCGAGCCTGCAGAGGCACCGGAGAACCCACAGCGGGGAGAGGCCATTCTCCTGCACCGAGTGCGGCAAGGGCTTCACCGATTCATCCATGCTGCTGACACACCGGAGGGTCCACACCGACGAGAGGCCTTTCGGGTGCCCAGACTGCGGGAAGCGCTGTAAGAGTTCCCGGGACCTGACGTCCCATCGGCGGGTCCACACCGACGAGAGGCCGTTCCGGTGCTCTCGCTGCGGGGCCGGCTTCAAGACGTCGTCGGCCCTCACGAAGCACCAGCGGGTTCACACCGGGGAGAGGCCGTTCGCGTGCCCCCGCTGCGGGGCGAGCTTCAAGCAGTCCTCTCAGCTCACCGTCCACCAGCGGGTTCACACCGGGGAGAGGCCGTTTGCCTGCTCCGAGTGCGGGAAGGCCTTTGCTCAGTCGTCCCATCTGCAGATACACGAGCGGGTTCACTCCGAGGAGAGACCCTTCAGGTGCCCGGACTGCGGGAAGAGCTTCAAAAGCTCCGGGGAACTGATGCTCCACCAGCGCGTTCACACCGACGAGAGGCCCTACCGATGCTCCCACTGCGGCACCGGGTTCCGGAGATCGTCCGACCTGGTAGAACACCGACGTGTCCACACCGGGGAGAGGCCGTTCACCTGCTCAGAGTGCGGGAAGGGATTCACTCAGTCGTCCACTCTGCTGAGGCACCAACGCGTTCACAAATAATTCCAGGAAGTAGGAGGCACCTAGGAGCAGGAGGAGGCCATTCAGCCCCTCTGAGCCTGCTTCACGATTCAAGGAGATCGTGGCTGCTCTGGTTATGGCCTCCACTCCACTTTCCTGTCTACCCCTTGATTCCCTTGACTGCTAAAAATATGTTGAACATGACCTTGAATAAATTCAACACCCAGTTGACCCTTTACAGAAAAAAAGTCCTCATCTCTGTCTTAAAACCAGATGTCTTTTTCTTAAATTCTTATACTAGTTTCTCCTACACCTCTGCTCTCTCGGAGGAAGCATCCTTTCAGCATCCACCCTGTTAGGACCCTCAGGATCTCAGTGTTTCAATGAATCCCCTTTCATTCTTCCAAACTCAAACGGGTAAAGATGTGCCCTGTTGTGCTCTTCATAAGTTAAGCCCTGCATCCCAGGAATGAGTCCAGCGATCCTTCTCTGAGCTGCTTTCTTGAAATGAGGGGATCAAAACCGTACACTGTACTCAAGACGTGGTATCACATATGCTCCATACAAATGTAGCAAAATGTCCCTGCATTTACTTTGCATTCCCTATGCAATCAATGAGAACACTTTATTTGTCTCCATATCAGCTGCAGACAAACTTTATATGATTCTTGTATTTGGTTTTGCTTTTCATCTTCCCCAGTTGTCATTTATGCGGAAAAAAATTGCATTCTTTCCATGTACTGGGCCCAGTCTTCGATGGTAGGGTCAATCTTATCATCCTTGAATTAGGACACTCAGTTCCTTCCATACCTCGATGTTCTTCCCGCCAAATTGGACAACATTTTCCTAAATTATATCCCACTGCCTACTTGCTTCACCTACCCACACCTCTTGGCAGACTCTGTTGTCTTTTCTTGACAACTTACTTTCCTACCTATCTTGGTGTCATCAGCAATTTTTTGTTTTCGAGTTAGGTTTATTGTCACGTGTTCTCAAGTACAGGGATACAGGAGTAAAGTGAAAAGTGTACAATGTCGCCTTTCCCGGCACCATCTTTAGGTACAAAGGTACCTCGGTACAAAATCTTAGGTACAAAGTAGAAAAATAAAGAAAGAAAGTTAAGAGTTCAGCATTATGACCTTTCTTTAGCCATGGGCCCGCAGATGCTCCATGCTGGGCTTTCCCCATGAGGGCTTGGTCTCCTCAATGTTTGTATATCAATGCGCAACACCAGAGTCCCACTTGAATTCACCGACTGCCTTGCCACTGAAAGCTCCAGACCTCAACAATGCCACAATTCCCAATTTGGCTACCAAACATTTGGTCCCCATATCCAAATCATTGAAATAAATGACATGGAGTTGAAGGCCCACTGCTGAACCCAATGACAATCCACTAGTTAATAGCTTTTCAACCCAAAAAAAATCCATTTACTTTTACTTTCTTGTTCAAGTGCAATCCTTTATCCCTGTGAATATGTTTCCCTCTTATACTCAGTGGAATCCCTACAGTGGGAAAGCAGGCCATTTAGCCCATCGAGTCTGCACCACACGTCCAAAGAGCCAGACCCGCTCCATCCCTATAACCCTATATTTCCCATGGCTAACCCACCTAGCCTGAATATCCCTGGACACTATGGGCAATTTAGCATGGTAACCCACCCTAACCTGCACATCTTTGAACTATGGGGGGAGACGGGAGCACCCGGAGGAAACCCATGCAGACATGGGGGGAGAATGTGCAAACTCCACACAGACAGTCACCCAAGGATGGAATCGAACCCGGGTCCCCAACATTATGAGGTACTGTTTGCCACTGTGCCACCGCCAAAGCATCTCAAAGACCTGCAAAGGAGATTTACTGGAATGATAGCAGGAATGAGGGATTTTAGATACAGGGCAAGATTAGAGAAACTGGACTAACTCTCCTTGGAGCAGAGAAGATTAAAAGGTGACCTTATTGGTGTGTTTGGAATTTTGACAGGGTAAAGAAAGATTTTCTTTTTCTACCAGTTGGTATGTTATCCCTGGGATTGGCAGCAAGAGAGCTAAGAGTGAGATGAGGAGAAACCTCCTTCCTGAGAAAGTTGTTAGGATCTGAAATGGGCTGCGGAGCATGTTGGAGGCTGATTCCCTTGGAGGATACATACTGATATATAGTCACACAGCATGGAAACAGACCCTTTGGTCAAACTAGTCCATGCTGAACATAATCCCAAATGAAACTAGTCCCTCCTGCCTGCTCCTGACCCATATCCCTCCAAACCTTACCCATTCACATACTTGTCCAAAGGTCTTTTAGATGTTGTAATTGTTCCCACATCCACCACTTCCTCAGGAAGTCCACTCTACACTCGAACCATTCTCTGTGTAAAACATTTGCCTCCCATGTCTTTTTTAAATCTCTCTCCTGTACCCTTATAAATGTGCCACCTCATCTTGAAATCCCCCATCCTAAGGAAAAGACAACTACTATTAACTCTGCCTATACCTCTCATTATTTTATAAACTTCAATAAGGCCACCTCTTAACCTCCTAGGCTCCAGTGAAAAATGTCCCAGCCTATCCAACCTTATTTGAAAGTGATGAATTTAGAGGGCTATGGAATAGTAATCTTTGATGTGGCATCTTGTCAAATGCCTTCTTGAAATCCAAGTACACCAGAATACACTTTATCTGCCTTGCTCATTACTTCCCAAAAAATTCTAATGAATGAGTTAAACGTGGCTTTCCTTCCTTAAAATCATGTCAACGCTGCCTGATCACACAATGACTTGCTAAGTATCCTGCTGTAGCCTCCTGAACGGTGAATTTTGCAATTTCCTGATAAGAGATGTTGGGCTAACTGGGAAGTAGTTTCCTGTGTTCTGTCTGCCTCCTAAATTAATGGTGTCACACCAGATATTCTCCAATCCACTGGGACCTTTCCAGAATATAAGAAATTTTGGAAAATTCTCACCAATGTCTCTTGTATCTCTGCAGTCACCTTTTTCAAGACCATGGGATACAGGCAGTTTGATCAGGGGGTGGTGCGCTTGTCTTCATTGTTCAGAACATTGAGTGTACAAGTTGGGATGCAATGTTGTGGCTGTACAGGACATTGGTTAGGCCACTTTTGGAATACTGCATTCAGTTCTGGCCTCCCTGCTTTAGGAAAGATGTTGTTAAACTTGAAACGGTTCAGAAAAGATTTACAAGGATGTTGCCAGGGTTGGAGGGTTTGAGTTACGGGGAGAAACTGAATAGGCTGGGCTATTTTCCCTGGGTCGTTGGAGGCTGAGGAGTGACCTTGTAGAGGTTTATAAAATCTTGAGGGACATGGATGGGGTGAATAGCCAAGGTCTTTTTTCTAAGGTAGGGGAGTCCAAAACTAAGGGCATAGATTTAAGGTGAGAGGAGAAAGATTTAAAAGGGACTTCAGTGGCAACTTTTTCACACAGAAGTTGTTGTGTGTAGGGAATGGACCACCAGAGGAAGTGGTGGAGGTGGGTACCATTACAACATTTAAAAGGCATCTGGATGGGTACATGAAGAGGAAGGGTTTAGAGGGATATGGGCCAAATGGGACTAGATTAATTTAGGATATCTGGTTGGCAAGAATGAGTTAGGCCGAAGGATCTGTTTCCATGCTATGCATGGTTCTTAGACTTTGGGTTGAATACTTTTCCCAGTGCCTTTCCCTGATGATAATTTCTAAGTCTTCTACTGTGAAGACTGACACAAAATATCTGTACAACACCTCTGCCATTTCCTCATTTTCAATTATCAAATTTCTCTGTAGCAGACCAACATGAGTTTTAGTTAATGTAAAGGTGGCATTATTTTATTTCCTGTATCATTCATTGTGGACTGAAATAGAAGCCAAAATGTTTTAAAACCAATTTTTTTTTGTATTCATTCACGTGATGAGGGTGTCACTAGCTTGGCCAGTATTTATTGCCCATCTCTAATTGCCAGAGGACAGCTCATAGCATCCCGACTGGATGGGAGCAGGCCATTCAGCCCATCGAGGTCACACCAACCCTCCAAACAGCATCCCACCCAGATCCACTCCATCCCTGTAACCCTTATTTCCCATGGCTAACCTACCTAGCCTGCACAACTCTGGACACTATGGGACACCATTAGCATGGCCAATCCACCCTAACCTGCATATTTTTGGACAGTGGGAGGAAACCCATGCAGACATGGGGAGAACATGCAAACTCCACACAATCAGTCACCTGAGGCTAGAATCAAACCTGGTTCCCTGGAGTTGTGAGGCAGCAGTGCTAACCACTGAGCCACTATGCTGCCCTGTGACAGTTAAGAGTCAACCAAATTGCTGTGGATCAGGCCAGACTAGGTAAGGATGGCAGTTTCCTTCTCTAAAGGACATGAATGAAGACTTTTTTTTCTGACAATCAACAATGGATTCATGGTCATCATTAGACTCCTAATTCCAGATCTTTATTTTGGAACGAATTGCTGTACGTTTAAAAACAAATTACTGAAACTCATTGTGTGTGGTGTTTGCACTGCTGCTTTGTTCAGGCAGTTGAGGGGGAAGCTTTTTGTAGGTGGGCCAGTACCCAGGGTGTCTGCAGGGTGAAATTTGTCTGGCAACAAATAGATGGCTGATTGGTGAAAGTGTGACTAGTTGTGGATGGCAAAAGTCATCAGCATGATGACAACTCTCTGGTGGTTTCTGGGTAGCCAAACAGCTTGTGGGTGTGGACGATACAGTGAGAAGCCTTTGGACATCTGGAAGGGCACGTTGTGTGTCTCCCGCTTTGCAGCAAAAATACACAAAGCCTGAAGAAAGCCAGTTATTTTCTCCCATCATTTGCTGTCAGCTGTTGCCTGCAATCAATAACCGACAGAGTTTGCAGTTAGGGTACCAATCACCTTGTGCCTCCTGCGAAGAAGTGAAAGAACCTGGAGAAAGTGGATCGAAGTACCAAAACTCTTGGCAAGCTATACGGATTATCTCAGTGAACCATGTGAACTGGTGAACTGTGTTTTCTGGTTTCTTTTTTCCCTCTCCATCCAAAATAACT